ATGATATCTCTGTCAAGGTCACAATCAAAGGAATCCCTCATATTAACAATCACATCTACCAGCCATCCTCACCTTGCATTCTCCTCACATAAGGCACTTCTCTATATCCAAATAACAACAGGCTTTCATGAGAAGTTGTGTGGGCTAAAGCTTTCAACAGGAAGATGACAGATTCATGCTGAAACATGCTTTCTTGCTACAGTTCCATGGAAGGGCTTTGAGTGCCTTTAAAAACGTAAAAGATTGACTATCCCTTTAACTGAAAGTATCAGGTCTGGCAAGCTTTTGGATCTCGGCTCTCGGGAATGAAATAGCAGCTCTGAAAGCATTAGTCACTGAGAGGGCCCCATATCTGGCCTCCCAAGTGCACGGTGGGTTTTGCCTTGATCGGCCCTTTCTGGAATTGGGTGTGTTTGTGTTCTAGAACGAGCTTACCTTTGGAGCCAGATAAACCTGAGATTTGAACCCAACTTCACCATGTATTTGTTAGAGAGCCTTGAGTCATTAATGTACCTCCAAGGCCCTCATTTTTTAATATCTACAATATAGGAGTCATAGCTACTCCTCAAGATTAGTGGAAGGGTTCAACTATCTACATTGTAATGAATACAAAACATTTAGTCCAGTAGATGGTACATAATGAGCACTCAATACTCATTTTGTTAAAAGAATAATAATGATTATTTTATAATGATAGCCCGGAGACAGGAAGGTTTAAGATTATGGACCAGAGGATGGTAATTGAAATCTTGTACATGGATAATGTCACAGTAGATATAGGGTGAGTGAGTAATAGATTGATTGCTTTTGGCTCATTCTATATCCATAGTTTTCGCCCTTCCATGTGACAGCCCTTCAAATATAACTTTGAAGATTTTAGTTCCTTTAATTATTCGCAACATAACATAATGACTGTTGTCCAATGCCACATCAAGCCACATCTGTGGTATATGAATCAGTACAAGACCTTACACTTCATAAAAATGGTCATCCATCCCCCACTCTGCCTCATTTTTGCTACTAAGCTTCGGTTTCTCTATCTGGGAGAATGATGGCACTTTGCACTGTCGCTGTGAAAATGAAATGAGTAATCTATGTGAGATACCCAGAGTAATGCCTCCCATATAACAAGCTCTCAGCCAGCATTGACAGTCGTCATTTCGTATGCTGTCCTCATGCAGCTGGTACCTCATAATTATTTGGGGCAACTACATCTCAGTGTTGACTCACATTGAGTTTGCTGAATATTAGATCTCATGTCTCTTTAAGATGTGAATTCTGTCCCATCCTATAAAGGAAGCAATTTTCAACTGCTGTGCCACAAGAATTTTTAAAACATGCACTATCTGACTATTTAGTCAGGGACACTGACCTCTTTTCTCTTAGATTTTCAAATTAAAACAATGACAGCAGTCAACACAACAATTCGTTCTGTGTGAATGTCCCGTCTTGAATCATAAATATGTCATGTAATAGACTTGCATCTTATTGGTCACATCACATAATAAGGTTGCATCTGATTGGTTAATTCTTGGTACCAGAAAGCCTCATATACAAGTATAGGCACTTGATTTTTTAAGAACATGATCTCACTCATATGTGGAATACATAGCTATCAACAATTACTTTAAATGAAATGGATTAAATGCTCCAACCAAAAGACATATGGAGGTTGAATGGATAACAAAACAAGACCCATACATGTGCTGTCTACAAGAGACTCACTTCAGATTGAAAGACACACACAGGGATAAATAAAGATATTTCACCAAAATGGAAATGAGAAGAAAAAAAAGCTGAGTAGCAATACTGAGAGCAGACAAAGTAGACTTTAAAACAAAGGCTATAACAAGAGACAACAAAGGACCCAGCAATTCCACTTCTGTGTACTTATCTGAAGAAACTCAAAACACTAAATCAAAAAAGACGTATACATCCATATGTTTATTGCAGCATTACTTACAATAGCCGAGATATAAAAGCAGTGTTCATAAATGGATAAAGAAGTGGTGCATATATACAATGGAATATGATCCAGCCGTCAAAATTTTTAAAAAATGAATGAAATCTTGTCATCTGCAACTACATGAATGGATCTAGAAGGTTTTGTGCTGAGTGAAATAAGACAGAAAATACCATATTATTTCAGTTATATGTGAAATCTAAAAAACAAAATGAACAATCAAGCAGATAGAGAGAGCATTTTGACGATTGCCAGATGGGAGGGGCTTGGGGGAACGAGTGAAAAAGATGAAGGAATTAAGAAGTACAAATTGGTAGTTACAGAATAGTCATGGGGATGTAAAGTACTGCACAGGGAATATATATAGTCAGCAAGATTGTAATAATTATATATGGTGTCAGATGGGTGCTAGACTTATCACGGTGATTACAGTAAGTGATATTCATGTCTAATCACTGGGTTGTACACCTAAAACTAATATAATATTTTATGTCAACTGTTATTGAAAACTAAAAAATATTATTTAAATATTTATCTAATTCTTTATTGCTAGTATACAGAAATGCTGTGTTATTACTTGGTTCCTTTTTTTTAAAAGATAGATTTCCAACTCCACAGGATCGAGAGCTCGGTGTGTCAACAGGCCCTCAATAAATTAGATATTCAGGGCTGATGTTCAGTGGTGTACAATATCATGGCTGTACTGGTTACTAAAATATTACTGTAGAATGTAGCTAACATTTCTACAGCGGAACCCTCTTTCTTTCCATCTGGTACCTTGGCCATCCTGGGCTTTCCCTCCAGACTGACCCACACCTCCCCAGTTCCAGACACGAGTAATGAGGTTTAATATCTTTTCTTATGTTTATAGGACATCCATGCAGCATCTTTTATAGAAGCATTTTTTTTTGTCTTTGCCAAATTTTTTTCTGTTGGAATGTTTTTTCTTATTAATGTATAGGCATTAATTATATATTTTAGAAGCTCTTTTGTTGGTTTTATGCATTGCAATATGTTTTCACTCTCTTTTGTACTTCTACACCTAGCTCAGCTGGGGCCTCAAGCCCTGTTCCACTGGAAAGGTAGGTGTCTGTTATGATTGTTCTATTCCTATCCATGTGAGTTATTAAATATTTTTCATGTTATCTCATGCTTATATTCCAATGCTAACATAAAACCAAGGGTAAGTTATTAATCCAAGTGGCTTCTTTTTTAAAATATATTTATTGATTTCCTAAAGGAAGGGAGAAAGAGATAGAAACATCAGTGATGAGACAGAATCATTGATGGCTACTTCCTGCATGCCCCCTACTGGGGACCAAGCCTGCAACTTGAGCATGTGCCCTTGAATGGAATCAAACTTGGGACCCTTCAGTCCGCAGGCCAATGCTCCATCCACGGAACCAAACCGACTAGGGCTTCAAGTGGTTTCTTACTCACTGGTGCAGAGAGCTCAGAAGGAGATGATCAGCTCTGGGGTTCAAGGAGGAAGCAGGAAATCTGAGCTGTAACTAAAGAGATTCTAGCTAGCACCCATCTCTGATAATTCCTGCCCAAATCCCTTCAGCTTCCCCAAGTCTACTCCTCCACTTGGAGCTCCCACAGGCACCTCAACCACACATGCTTCAGGCTGAACACATCATCTTTAAATGCTAAATCTGTTCTCCTCCTGACTCCCCTTATTGGTGGAAGAGTGTCTCCAACCATCTCTCCCTTACAGTAGAAAATTCAGAATCATCTGAGATTCCAACCTATCCTCATTTCCTCTCTATTATTGCTTACCAAGATCTGTCATTTCTATACCATAAAAAATATCTCTTGAATATGACCTTTTCCCCAATCCCGATTACTGCTCTCTCCTAAATTTTTGAATAGTTTCCTGGCCTGTCTTTTGGCCTCCAGCCTCTTTGCTCCTCCATCCCTCCCCCACACTGCTACCAGCATTAGCAGTCCCACCTGGCCCATTAGCCTACTCTGTTTCTTCATCTGTGAAAGGGAGTGGGGGCGCCATCTGCCTTGGCATGGAGGAGGGTGAGAATGGAGCTCATATAAAGCAGATTGGCTTCGCGTTGGTTTTATTATTGCATTGAAATGCTCTATAGACAAGTCGCTCCTTTTGCCTACACCTGGCCCACAACTGTTCCCACCCACCCACCTCCCTTCTCTTTGATAATATGATCTGTCTCGCAGAGCTTCCATGAAGGTCAATGCAACAGTGCTCACTGAGAACTTAGCCCAGGCCCCTGCACAGGGTGAGCACTCAGTTACTGTTAACGATGATTAGTAAAAACATTATTTTGGGTTCCTTATCCCCTATATGATTCCTGTTCGGGCAAGCAAAGCCTTTCTGGCCGCAGATACTCCCTTCCACCCTCCTGCACCCTCTGCTCTAGCAAAACTGTTTATTCTGCCTTCACCAAACCAAGTTCTTCCGAGTTTCCAGGCCTTTGCAAATGCCCTTTACGCTGGCTGGATGTCTTCCCTCTCCTCTGCAGATTCATCATTTAAGATCCAGGTCACAGTCATGCTTTCTGTGAAGCCTTCCTCAAATGATCCAGACAAAAGGAATACCTCCTCCCTCCTGTGAGCCCACGGCTCCCCGCTCATTTCTCCTCTCTGAAGCCTGCCGGGACTGGAGCTCCCAGAAGGGAGAGTCTGTATGTGCTCGTCAGCTTTGAATCCAGTCACCAAAACTGGTGAGCCCATATTACCGTCTCAGTACTGACAGGGATTTAGCTCGTTTTATTAGAATGAATGAATGAATGAATGTGAATGGTTTTGACTTCATTCTAGACTAGACCTAGCAAAAACTTTGGGTAGCTACAGTTTGGGTCCTTTTGCATAGCCTGGTATTGGACTCTTCTTTCCATGCCCCAAGAAAAATATTCCCTACTAGGGTACCTGCCTTCTTAAGGAATGGAACTCAGTACCTAAGGAAAGCCCTTTTCAAAGCAGGGAGAGTGATGAGCAGGTCAGCTCTGCCTTCGCAGCTGTCCCTGAGAGGGCGCTGTTCCCAAATGAACCCTCCGAGGCCTGGACTGAAATACCGGCGCCTTCCCACAGGATTCAGCATCCCTGGCTTCCCAGGCAGCAGCCGCGGGTCCCCAGCGGAGCATCTGCCCACAAACATGGCTGCGCCCAGCTCAGCTTCTCCTCGCCGGGACCCGCCGGCCGGGCCGGCCTTGCCAGTACTCGGGGACTTCCTCCGGGAGCCCGCTTCCTGCACCGCTGGCATTTAAACCGGCGCCTGGGGCTGCGGACGCCGAGCTGACCGCGGGCTGGAGCGCCGCCGCTTCCCCCCCCCAGCGACTGGGCTGGGCAGGAGCGCAGCCGAAGCATCCCCTAGCTGCGCCCGTGTCCGAGCAGGAGCGGTCTGGGGGGAGACCCCGGACCCCGGCATCTGGCAGTTCAATTACAGGTTTGACTTTAATATCCAAGATCGCGACCCTCCCGCCCAGCCCCGATCTTTCTTCTCTCCCTCCCGCCCTCCGGCCTTGGTCGCTGGATGAAGCTGGCGCTGGGCTTGGTCCCAGGAGCTTGGAAAGAGCGCGTTCTCCGCCCCGCGGCGTTGCTCCGGGGACCTCCGAGCCGCGCGCCCCGGTCATGGTGAGGCTGAGCCCCGCGCTCGGGTGAGGCGGCGGCGCGGTTCCGAGCCCAGCGGGCCCGCCCTGCGAGGCGTTTTCCCCCGAGGAGCCAAGGGCACCGGACGCGGGGCTCCGCGCCCTCCCGCTGGGCTGCGCGCAGGGGGTGAGCAGCCGCCGCGATGTTCAGCTGGCTGGGTACCGACGACCGCCGGAGGAAGGACCCCGAGGTCTTCCAGACGGTGAGCGAGGGGCTTAAGAAACTCTACAAGAGCAAGCTGCTGCCCCTGGAAGAGCATTACCGCTTCCACGAGTTTCACTCGCCCGCCCTGGAGGATGCCGATTTTGACAACAAGCCCATGGTCTTACTGGTGGGCCAGTACTCCACTGGGAAGACCACTTTCATCAGGTGAGCCAGCCCAGGACCCCCCACCCCCCACCCCGGCAGCCCCACCCTGCCCCCAGCGCTTAGGCCTTCCATTCACTCCTGGTGCCCCCTCCAGGCTGAGTACTGTCTTCTCTCCAGGACTCGGAAGAAATCTTTGCATGCACATGTGTCCAAAGCCTACCCCACCATTTCACTGCTGGTCCCCCACCCCCTCCTACCTCATGCCTCTCCACTGTACTTAGAGCCCTGGCTCAAGCGGTCAGTTTGAAATGTTAAAAACCAGAGCCATCTTGTTCTTCCCATTTTATGGATGGTGAAACCAAGGCCCAGGAGGCACGAGTGAGAAATCCCTTATCCCAAGAGTCCCGTGTGGGAGTATCTTACACCCTCACTTTTTAGGGACATGCCCTTTATGGCCACTTCCATTTCCCTTGCCTTTTAAAGGCTTCAGCCATTCACGTAGGGGCTTTACAGTCACAGCTGAAGAGGTGGGCTGGGGACCCTGTGGCTCCCCTGCCTCGCAGCACCGCCTGTCCTCTTATCGTTTCCCTTCGTGGAGCAGAGCTCCGACATGTATCTCTTGGAGACTGGACAGAAGCAGTATCCAGAAAGAGCATGTTGTGTTTGAAAATCTTTTCCCTTGTTTGGTCTTAATGGCTCGGTAATAATATTAAAGTCTTTTAGAGGAGGAAGGGATATTGATGATTGTCTCATCCAGCTTAGCGGGTGAGGTAACTGAGGCATGGAGAGGTTAGATGCACTGTCCAGAGGCATCTCCCTGGGGGGAGGCCAAGGTAGGATGCTGGTCCTGGACCCATGGAAGGAGACGCTTGGCCAAATGCCTGTAACTTTGAGGGTGAGTCATCCATTCTCTTGAATTACTGAGTCCTTGGGCTGGAGAGATCTGCCAGAAGTCAACGTGTCCACCTTGCATTCAGAGAGGTCCGCATATGGGCCACTAGAGGGATGAGAATCCTTCTTATCTTTAGACAACAGGCTTCTCTCCAGTCCTCAGGCCCCACATCCTTCAAGGCCAGCCATTTTCCTTGGCCTCATCTACAGCCCTGGCCAAGCTCTTGGTGCTTCTGGTCCTCTGTGTTGAGAGGCAGGCTCCTACAGCGTAGCGATGGGTCCCGTGGCCTCCGAAAGTCAGCGGTGCTCATCTCTGCCAGGTTTAAAGCGGGTGCACTTGTTTCCTTGACTGAGCACCTGCAACACTCAGCTCTGGTCTTTGATTGGCAAGAAAAGCAGCAACAGGAACAGTCTGGTTACTGATTCTCCAGATACAAATGTTCTCTTAACAGTAAACTTCCATAACACACGCTTTCTGTAAGCTGCGCGTGCCCCACACTAACAAGTTGTGTCTGAATAGACCACCAGATCAAGTTTGCCCTTGGGTAGGCGGATAGCCTTGGGCCCAGCAGCTTGGAGAGACTGAGTGATTTCTGAACAAGTTTGGTACCCAGGTGGGGGAGGGGGATAGGTGGGTGGGCCGGTTGGCTTTTGGATCTTATATTGTTGGAACTACAAGGACCCTTCGCTATGAATTGAACCCATTGCTTCTTGACTTTTTAAAAGTTAGTTCCTCCTTTGAAAATCTGATGAAAGCTGCACTTATCTTTAGAAAAAAATACACATACATCACAAATGTATACATAATCTTGTGGGCCCGAGGACCACCGTGGACTTCAGGGCGAGGGTTTTGATCTAACCCATTTCCTTTACTTTATTACATACCCATTGCTGCCAAATACACTCGAGAGGTACCTGGGTTCTGTGCACAATTCCTTTTAACCTGTGTCCTTTCTCTGGCCTGTATTATGCCCCCACGGGAAGTCCTGGCCGTTTATAGATGGCTCCTGCCTTTGAAGAGCTTTCTCTGGCCCTCTGGACACACCTTGGTTCTTTAGAGCTTCTCTTTCCCGTAACAGCAGCACACACAACCGTGCCTTAGCTCCTGGGCCTCTCCTGGGGTCTCTGCCACGGTAGGTTCCCTGTATATGTTTGCAGAATAGGAGGGAAAGTGGGGAAAGGCAGGTGTCCCTAGGGTGCTGGATCTCTAAGCAGCAGATAGGTTTAAGGGCCTCTGCCTGAGACTCTCTCCTGGTTTCGCCTGAGTCATGCTGGCTGTTAACTGGGTCTAAGAAAGTGGCAGGGTCGAGCTACCATAGATTATTCATTATCTGAGGGAAACAGGAAGGCCGGGAGGGGCAGATCCCTCCGCTTTCTTATCCTCCAAGTACAAGAGTTCTCTCTCCCCACTCATGTCAGTAACTGAATTTAGCTCATGCATCAAAAGCCGCCTCCCCTTGGGGGAGAGTGGGCCAGCAGGGCAGGAAGGAGGGCTTACAGCACAGGGACGCCTTCCCAAACCAAATTGCATGTTTTCCTTCCTTGTCATTAAATCCACTGAACAGTTATTTTCTTTAAATTGGAAAATGCAGAGAATGGATGTACGGAAGAAGAAGAAAGATCACCCATAATCCCACAACTCCAGGGAAACCATTTTAGATATCATTCACATGTATATAAATATATACATATTTCCAGTATGGTTAGCTATTTTATCACACGGTTAAGATCATTCATAATGTAATTTTGTATTCTGATTTGTTTTGCTTACAGCACGAGCATTTCTCATGTAAGTTTAAAAATCTTTGTAAGCATTCTTTTTGAGAGCCTTGTGCTATTTCGCTGTATGTGTATGCAATTATTCACAGCTCCAGTCTACTTCTTTTGAATGTCTTAGGATGTTTCTGATTTTTCTGCTATTGCAGTATCACTCTGAATATTGTTGTGGGTAATATTTTTCCACACACTGACTGTTTTCTCAGAGATTCCCAGAAGCGAAGTCACTAGGCCAAAGGTTGTGCAGCGTTGTTTCTGTTTATTTATTTTATTTACTTATTCTTTTACTTTCAATTTTGCTATTCAGAGTCCTGTTGCTGAATTGCTCTCCAAGAGGAGAGCACCCCTCTCCCAGGCTGCACTGGGGTAGGAAGGTGTGCGGGGCGTAGATTCTCAGGGTGCCCTGGCCTCTCCGTCCTCCCCATCCTTGCTTCCTGTCTTGGATACCACGCTTCTCCCCTCCATCCCAGGCTGAGCCTGTGAGGGACCTTTCTCTCCAGAATAGAGACTTGCCTCTTCATTCCCAGCCCCGGGCCTTTGCCGCCGGAGTGCCCACCCACTTTCAGTTATATGTACTTGCCGCAGGGTTTATTTCTTTTCTCAGGAAGAACACGCAGAAAAGGGCATTCTTCTAACAACTAATTAATGGGCTATGATCTCTGCCTGAAATAACTTCTCTGGCCTACGGCCCGGCAACCCAGAGTAATAAAATAAACAATAAATTGGCCTGGTGGCTGCTCCCTCCAACACAGGCTGCCTCCTCGGAGTACAGTAGCTCTGTGTCCCTCGGGCCTGGCAGCCTTTCCCTGCCTCTGCTGTTTTTCTCCCTTCGCTCTTCCTTCCCCTGGCAGGCAGCCTCGAATCCCTCCTCCCTTGCCCCATCTGGCCCCCTGGTCACAGAGGTGACTAGCCGGCTGGTCCAAGGGCTGCGGGAAAGCCCAGCGCTCTCAGGGGCCATAAGGGAGGCCAAATAGAGGATTGGGGGTCGGGGATCAGGCCTAGGGCTCCCAGGGCCAAGCTGCCTGTGTCTGCACAGGGAGGTCTGGGCTGATCTCAAGGCTCAGGTGGCCCTTCTACAACATGACTTGGACTCTGAAGTATGAGCACGCAGTGGGAGCTGCTACTAACTGACCCTTTCAACCTCTCCCACTTCTTCAGGGGGATGTTTGAATCCTCCTCAAAAGTGACTCAGCCTTTACCTGTGGCTGCTCCATCCCCACCGCCTAGGCCTCACCCAGTACATTATAGCATCACCATCCCACCCCCTTCCAGGTAGACCCACTGACCTCTGCCAGGTCTATCCCACCAGGCACAGTCCCTGCAACACCTCTGTCCTGTCCACCCTGAGCTCAGTGGACATCCTTTTTCTGTCAGGGCTCGGATCTGCTGGGCCCTAAGTGGGGCAGGGTCCGCCTGCCCCAGGTCGTTGAAGATCCGTCTTGGAAGTCAGGTGTGTGGACGGCATCAGGAGGAGCGCTGCCTGGGAGGAGGAGGACCCTGGAGAAGGGGCTCCACCCCGTCAGCATTGGCAAGGAGGCCAGACCATGGGTAGAACACGGCCTGCTCAGCAGAACCTGGGCTCCAGCGGACACCAACAAGAGGCCTTGTTAGCAAGATCTATCCCTCCTGTTTCCTCACCTCTATCGTGTGAATCGTAACAGCTGCCTCCGAGGGTTGCTCGGGGTTAGAAGGGGGAAAGGACCAATGTAGCTCGTTCCTTTGCAGGCACTCTGCTTGGGGCTTTATCATTCCCTCTCCTCTTTCTAGCAGATTCTCTAACCAGAGGCTTAGAGGCTGGCCCTCAGGAGGTGGGGGAAGCCCTTGTTGGCCCCTCCCACAGCCAGGATGAGGGGGTGGGAGGGGGGGGTGTGCAGGAAGAGTTGGAAGAGGGGCCTGAGCCACAGTGCTGGGGAGTGGGTGGGCAAGGGGAGGGGAGCAGGAGGTTTGGCAGTGTGGCCACCTGTCTTTGTGCTGGGGTCACCTCACCCAGTGGCAAAGGCTGCTGTGCCCCAGGGATAGTGGTGGCTGCTCTGCTCTGAGGAGCACAGAGCTGACTCAGACCTCAACTGCACCATCAGGGGTCTCCCCCACCTACTCCCTCATTTTGTGTCTCTGGGGTGCTTTACAGTCTCCCTAAAAACCCCTGAGGCTGACAGGGCAAGTATGATTGTTGGGACTCCGTTTAATTTTATTTTTCGTTTTAATTTTTTAAAAAATCTTTAAAATGTTTGAGAGTATTATAGATGTGCCCCCTTTCTCCCCCCATTGCCCCTTCCACCTGGTTCCCACCCCATCCCAGGCCTTCACCATCCTATTGTCTGTGTCCATAGGCAAGACAGACCAAAGATTCAGATCTATAACACAAACACCTATGGTACAAGGCAGAAAGTGATATGTGCCTTCAGAGTCTACTAAAGATATGCAAATTAACAGCTATGTGATTTTCTGGGAAGGGTGTAAGTCAGGGTTGGGATGACGGCATGAATCAGTTAAGGCCTCGCTGAGGCGGCATCGGGACTGGATTTGGAGACGGAGACACTGTGGAAATGCGCTGAGTACTTAGAGGCATCAATGAGCCGTTTGTTTCCTCTAATTATTGTCTCTTGCAATGTGAGCAAATGTCTGGGGTAGCCTTTGTTTTTCCCAAACTCATGGGTGTCCTATCAAAACCTTCAAGCCGTCCCTTTGGCGAGTTAGAAACCAAGGATTATCCCCTTTTTTATAAACCAGGGAAACTGAGCCACTGGGCTGTTGGGTGATGTGTCTAAGGTCCTATCTATGATGGAGGAGCCACCCAGGAAGGTGCCTTCTGGGCTGAGCCGAGGCGGAGGGCCCAGCCCACGGCAGCATGTTTGCGGAGCCCGCCCCTCTGTTCCCGCCCTGGCCCCGGCCCAGCGGCAGCCCAGCCGAGGTCGGGCCCACTGCTCTGGAGAGGGGTACTTTGGGTGCAGACTGCGTTAAGAGTCTTGGCTCCACGCCTCTCCCTGGGTGCTTAGGTCACCACTAAAGCAGACCGCATGCTTAGAGTGCCAGGCAAGCAGGACACACACACACACACACACACACACACACACACACACACGAGGAAAATGCCATGAAATAATTTACTGAATCAAAACGTACAGAAAAGTGGTTCTCATAGAAAAAAAAAATCAGCCTTGTGTAGGACTTCCATACACCTATTTTATGGTTTTAGTATTTACTTGTTTTTCATTCGATGGCGGGGGGATGGCATGGAAGGGGTGGGGGAGGGCACAGCGCACCAACATCGTAGCTCTTACCATTGCTAAATATTTTCCTTTGGCCATGAACTTGGGCAACCTATATCTCAATTGACTCCACTGCAAAACTGAAATAATGCTGCCACCCCACAGTGCTTGTAGGATCGATTCAGTGGAATAATTTGGGTAAAGGTCCCAGAACCGCACCTGCCACTCAGCAGCCCCTCCTTACCCTTGACGTCCTGGTCTCCGCCGTTCCCACCCAGGCTTGAATTCACTTGGCTTTGTGTCTGCTGCCGTGGGAATGGTTGCGCCTGGCAACAGAGGCGATTTGTATCACTTCCCACAGAGCAGCAGTGATGAGATCCCTCAATAGGTTGTCCTTTCCGGACACAGTGGAGGCTTTGTGAAGGGGGCTCTCGGTGCTGCAAGCCATACCCAAATGTTCCTGAGAATTTACCCAGCTCCGGTTCTCTGCCCGGCCCCACTGTGTCCCTGGATGTGCTGGTGACTTTTCTGGACTCTGTGTTCCTTCAGGCCCTTGTGTGGTCAGCAAGTTTGGGCTCATGTGGGTTTAGCCACAAGGGCAGGACAGCCGGCCCAGCCTCCTGTCTTTGGCTCAGACAGACTCAGGCTGGGGCTCGGGCTCATCCCGGGAAGTGGCCCTGTCATGCTGGGAAGTCACCCTTTGATCATCTGATCTCACAGCACGTCTCTCAGGGATGGAATCTGAGCCGCCTGGGTCAGCAGGATCCTCCATCACTGCCATTTGGCCCTGTTCAGTCTGAGTGTTCTCAAAGCTGCCTCAGAATTGCTTCTTCCCACTTCTGTCTATGTCGGCTTTCCCTCGAGCCTTTGGTCACCCACCACCCCCTCCTGCCTCAGAACTCACACCTGCCACCCCACTACTGGGCTCCGCTTAGGGCTTCTCACCCACGTGCTCATGGGGCAGTGGCTCCTGGCACACAGACAGAATGGATGGGGTTCCCCTGGCATGGTGTTGGTTCTCATGAAACGTCTTCCCAGGGAAATCTGGCTTTACTATTTTTAAGTCCCAAGAATGTCCTTTGAGAGCCAGTGGGCCTGGGGCCTGCTCTGGTCACTTGATAGCAACAGCTTTTGCCTGCCACGCGTCACTCATGGAGGCCTCGCTGAGAACCCCTAGGGCAGGCGTGTATGGAGGTGAGTACATCGCTGGGTTTGTGGGACCCAGAGCCTACCTTTCTCCCATGGCCTGGGCCCTGGACAGCCTCCTGCCAAGCCATATCCCTTCGTGGCCTTCTTGTCCCCTTCCTCATTCTAGTCCCATGTGGGGCTCAGCCTTTTTGCATTTCCTGGTCAAGAGGAGACCTACGGCAGGAAAGGAGATAGTAACGGTGGTGGTTAGGAACATAAATTCTCAAATCCACGTGACAGGTTCAAATCCGAGCTCAGCTATTTACCGGTGGCATGACCTGAGGCAAACTGTCTAACCTCTGTCTCCCGCTCTTTAAAATGGAATGATAAATCTGGTGCCAGGCACTGGGTTAAGTGCTGAAGGACTGTAACTAGTTTAACCCTCAGAACACCCTAAGAGGTGGGCTTTCTTATTAGGCCTATGTGACCAAAGGGTCATAGTACTCACCTCAGAGTAGATGTAAAGATGAAATGAGATAATCCATAGAAAATCTAGAACAGTGCTTGGCACATCACAGGTGCTTGATACATTGGAACTATCACCTCCCGTGTTATAGAGGGAGGTACTGAGGTTCATAGAGGCCCAGTGCCTTCTGAAAGGCATGTCCCTCCTGGTTCAAAAACCAGGCCTGCTGGCCCCAGGCTGCTGAGATTCCCTGCCTCTCCCCTGAGGGCCTGGAGGAGGAGGCACATTGAGAAAGCAGGAAGCGCTCGCCCAGTGTGCAGCTGTTGGAAGTCTCCTCATTCATAGCCGCAGTGCCAGATTTCACAATGGTCCTCTGATGGAGGAAATCCTGCTTCACACCCAGATTGTCAGGCTGGGATGCTGGAGGGAGATGAAGGGCTTCCCCAGGCCACCTAAACCCTCCGGTGTGTGCAGGCAGCGGGTGGAGGGGGAGCCTTCTGGGCACCAGCTTCTCTGCTAGCTCCCTGGGGATGACCCATAGCAACCGACTTAAACTGCCTGAACCACAGAGTCATGTAACAGTTCCGAACCCTTCTCGGAGGCACTGGCAGGGGACCCATGAGCCGGAAGAAACCCCAGCGTGTCTCCCTGGCCACCACCCTGTGAGCAGAGCAGGACCACTGCTGCAGGCCCACCTGGGGAGGCATGGGATGGGCAGAGCACTTGGGCCGTGGAGACATGGCCTCTGGTCCCAGCTCTGCCTGACCTTCGGTGGGGCCTGGATCAGGTCTCTCTGCAGTGACTTCCTCAGGGTAGAAGGCAGTTGAAGAGCAAAGGATTTGGTGTTAGATTGATTTCGGTCTGGGTTTCAGCTCTTACTATTAGCTATTTAACTTGGAGAAAGTCGCATACCCCTCCCAGGCCTCCATTTCTTCAATACCTACCTAGAGGGCTGCTGTGAGACCCAAAGGAGATAATGTTCCCAAAATGATTGGTGTGATGCCTGGCATGTGGAAATGCTATGGAGTATCAGTGGTCTTATCAGTAAAATGGGAGTGCTGTCAACCCCAGCTGCACATTAGGGTCACCTGGGGAGCTCCTAAAAAGCACCAGTGGCTAGGGCCCCACCTCTGAGTGAATGGGTTAGAACCTCCGGGGGTGGGGACCAGGCACCTTAGCTAGAGCTCTGAGGTAGCTCAGCTGTGAAGCCGGTGTGAGGACCGCTGGTCCAGGAGGTCTCCATGTTCCCCTCCCAACTAACAGTCTCTGATTCTACCTCTCTTCTCCTGGGGGCCCTCGAAGTTCAGGAGGTTCTCAGCACAGTGAAGGTTCCCCCAGAGTCTGTGTTTGTTGGTCATACACCCGTAGCTCCTCGTCCATCATGGTCTTGGAAGATGCCCCTGGGACTCTCCTCTGGTCAGTCCCAACCGGAGGCAGTTCTGGGCTCCTCCCCTGAATCCAGCCTCATGCTATTTGGGCCCAAAGCTGTTCTGAGCTTCTTCTGAAGGACTTGGTTGTCTTTAGGAGCTGTTCTCTTCGTTCTCTGGCTCATCCTGTACCTTTGCTTTTGACTTCTAAAGGGGGCTGTTTAGAGGGGCATGGCCTTGGGCTGTCACTGCTCTGGCCAGGAGAAGAGCGAAGGAAGGGGCCTGGCACCTAGAGAGTGGACCAAAAGTCCAGAGGGAATGGAGACCCACTTTTCATAATGTAGCTGTCACACTGGCTGTATTTTTTTATTTTTACTGATTTCAGAGAGGAAAGGAGAGGGAGAGAGAGATAGAAGCATCAATGATGAGAGAGAGTCATTGATCGGCTGCCTCCTGCACACCCCCCTCGCCCCCACCGGGGATCGAGCCCGTAACCTGGGCATGTGCCCTGGACCAGGAATTGAACAGTGACCTCCTGGTTCATAGGTCGATGCTCAACCGCTGAGCCACGCCGGTCAGGCACACTGGCTGTATTTTTGTCTCATGTATGAGCTAGTTTTCTATTAAAGGACTGACTAACCAGATAAATAAATAATGACCCGTGGAAAGCTGGCAGAGTCCATGGATGCTCTAATTCTAACCAAGTCTTTATGCAGATCCGCCAGCAGGTTACCTTCAGTTGTAAAGTCTGCCATGCTCTGTGCAGCAATCACTGTCCACCCATGCTCCAGCCCCGAGCCCAAACCTTGCATTTTTTCCCCTACTGACTCAGGGAGAGGAAAAGGTAAGAACCAAGAACAGATTTGGTATTTTAAGTTCAGTTGTAATCCCACCTCCTCCCCCACGTCTTTGAAACCCTGCCCGGCAGTCATCTCCCTGCTGAGAAATCTCGTGGCTCTGGACCTTGCCCTTCCATCCTGCCTTGTGGTAGATGCTCAGTGTTGATCTACCAGCAGCATCCCTGCTTTATGACTGTGCTCCCTCTGCCAGGTACCTGCTGGAACAGGATTTTCCAGGCATGAGGATTGGGCCCGAGCCGACCACCGACTCCTTCATTGCAGTGATGCAGGGTGAGGTGGAGGGGGTCATCCCTGGGAACGCTCTGGTGGTGGATCCTAAGAAACCCTTCCGGAAACTCAACGCCTTTGGCAATGCCTTCTTGAACAGGTGAGTGCAGAGGGGCTATACACACTGACTTTTCTTCTTCTTGGAGTATGAGAAGGGAAAGCACAGGGCTGGGTCTTGGGGGGCGTGGTGCCTTTCCCATACCTAAAGGCTCTCTTGATTGTTCCTTCCTTGCTCAGAATGTAACTGAGCCAGTCCCTATAGAGTAGGGATGTGGGAGCTGCAAACGCTAGGCTGCCTCCTCCTGGTCAAGGTGCAGGGAAGGGTACCGCAAGGTGAATCACACACACACACACACACCCCACCCCCACCCCATATCTGCACCTCCTGCCAGTAAGAGCAGAGAGCACTCCCAGCCTTTGCCTGTGCTGCCAAAGGGATGTGCATCCAAGTGGAAGGAGGCAGAGGAAGGTTTTTCTCTGTTCCTGGACATTGTTTTCCCTTGGTGGAACGAACTCTGGACTTAAGGTGGAAGTCCTGAGTTTGAGCACTGACTTTCCTCCTAACCTCATTGTGTGTCCTTGGACAGGTCACAGGTAAAAGCCTACAGACACCAGAGTTGTTGTGATGATTTGAGTGAAAAAGCTCTAGGGAATGCTTGGTAGGCTGATCCAGGTCTTCCTGTTTCTGCTTAACCTGATCCCCTGATTGCACTTTTTCTATAAACCCACACCACATGTTTGCATGAGTATTGCACTGGAAATTTTTTAACTACTTTCCCTAATTGGAGGTATTTAGAGGAGAGGGAAAGACTATAGGCTTTGGCTTCAGACAGACCTGGGTTCAAATCTTACCAAGTAGCACCATAGATCTCAGACAAATTACCTAACTTCTCTGTATCTCACTTTTCTCATCTGTGAAATAGGATAATACTAATACCCTCCTTCGAGGCAAGAGCACTGAGATGGTCTTATGGGAAGTTGGCATTTGACATGGGTGATCAAAGATGAGTGAGGTGACACTGAAAGTATAAAAACAAAAAACAAAAAAACAACCAACATTCCAGGCAAACAACATTCCACCCAGAGGGGAATGAAAGAATGTGGCTTAGTGCAGGAGCCCTGTGACCAGAACTGGAGAAGCTTCGTGCTTTTCTGACCATGGGCTGGGGATCTGCCAGGCATGTCCATGGCAAGGGCAACAGGAGAGGGGGGCAGTTTCACTGCAGCTACTCACAGGAGGCTGCACCCCAGACCTTGGGTGCCCATCTCTGTGCCCCTCAGCCAACCTACAGCAGCCTACATCTTGTCCCTCGTCAAATCCCTGCCCTTCTCCAATCACCTCACCTCCTTCTTATAGCATTTGGCCTCCCTTCCCTTCTAGAGAGAATGGGAACCAGTGATGTGTACCCAGATTCACTCGTTTGTTCAGTCTACCCATAAACAAGTTCATCTGCCTTTGTCCTCACTTCCTCCACCCGGGGCGTAGAGAGCTGTGGCTTCTCTTGTCCTCACAAGGTCTAACTCCTGCCACATCATGCCCTGGGCTACGGGACATCTTCTCAGGGACCCTCCCCATCAGTGACTGCTTCTCCTTCTGACCACTTCACCCTGCCTTGGCTCCTTCCCTTCACACGAAAATCTCCTCTTGAAAACCCTACAGCAGGTCTCTCTCTCTCTCTCTCTCTCTCTCTCTCTCTCTCTCTCTCTCTCTCTCTCTCTCCTCACAGCCAAGTTTCTTGGCTTCATCTCCTCGTGTCTTCCTGTCCCCCAGCCTGTGGAATGTAGCTTCACCCTACCACAGCTGCTTGTGTGAAGGTCACCGTGACCTCTTAGTGATCATAAGCAGGGCCTCTTTCCACCCTTACATTACCTCTTTGGTATTTGTCTCTCTTGACCACCATCCCCGCTCCTCCTGCCTCCCTGAACAGGCCCTCTGCATCCAGTCTCCTCTGTGTCCCCTTTTTCTCTGGCCCTGATGACTTGCTGTCACCCTTAGTTGGCCCATCATCACCCCCCTGCCCTTCTTACTCCATATGCTTGGCCTGGATTTAGCCTCAGCCACAGTCCTGGCCCCAAATACCAAATGACAGAAACCCAGCTCAAACTAGCTTCAGCAAGATGGGGGATGTATTGTAGAACACTGGTGTGTGCCATAGAACCCTAGGAGCAGAATGTGGCTGGGTCTCAGGTGTAATGGACAACATGGGCCTCGACAGGACAGGGGCCGTGTCACTTCCTGTTCTACCCCCCTTATCTGGGATAGTGCCAGGCATGTAGCAGACACTCCATAAATATTTGTGGAACTGAACTGGACATGCTGACAACCATCATATCTGATCATGTCATTCTTTGGCTTAAAGCATTCCAATGGGTTTCTGCTGCCTTCAGTATAAAATCCAAAATTTTAATGTAAGGCCCTTTGTGATCTGGCCTCCCGCCTCCTCCCTGTCTAGCTTCATCTCTGGCCACTCCAGCCTTCCTGTCCTCGCCTCAGTGATGTGTACCCACAAGAATGGTGCACACTCTCTCTCATTTCTGTGCTGTGTTTGCACCTACTTCTATTAGTTACCTGGGGCTGCTACTCAGTGCCTTAAAGCAACAGAAATGTGTTATCTCATAGTTCTGGAGGCCAGAGCTGAAACCAAGGTATGGCAGGGCCATGCTCCCTCAGAAGATTCTAGAGGAGCATCCTCTCTTGCTTCTTCCCTCTTCTGATTGCCCAGGTATTCCTGTTAGTAGAAGCATGATTCCAACCTCTGCGTCTTCCCTCTGTGCATGTCTGTCTTCACATGTGTTCTCTTATCTTATAGAGTGTTGTTTTATAGAATTTTATACCTGAGATTTACATAATATTATTAACCAGTGTTACCCTAACTTAATTTTAAAAAGGACACCAGTTTTATTGGATTAGGGGCCTATGCTACTCTAATATGATCTCACTTAACTAATTACATCTACAGAGACCGTATTCCAAATAAGGCCACATTCTAGACCCCCTGGGGGTTAGGACTTCAACAGATCTCCTTGGGGGACAAAATTCAACCCATAACACTGCTCTTTCACTGTTACCCCTTTTTTTTTTTTTTTTTTTTTTTTTTTTTTTTTATTGCTTAAAGTATTACAAAGGGTATTACATATGTGTCCATTTTATCCCCCCGCCCTAGACAGTCCCCTAGCCTCCCCTATCCCCCAATGTCTTATGTCCACTGGTTATGCTTCTATGCATGCATACAAGTCCTTTAGTTGATCTCTTACCCCCCTACCTCCTGCCCCGCAACCCTCCCCGGCCTTCCTGCTGCAGTTTGACAATCTGTTTGAGGCAGCTCTGCCTCTGTATCTATTATTGTTCAAAAGTTTATAATGGTCTCTATTATCCATGAATGAGTGAGATCATGTGGTATTTTTCCTTCATTGACTGGCTTATTTCACTTAGCATAATGCTCTCCAGTTCCATCCATGACGTTGCAAATGGTAAGAGTTCCTTCCTTTTTAGAGCAGCATAGTATTCCATCGTGTAGATGTACCACAGTTTTCTAATCCATTCATCTACTGATGGGCACTTAGGCTGTTTCCAGATCTTAGCTATGGTGAATTGTGCTGCTATGAACATAGGGGTGCATATATCCTTTCTGATTGGTGTTTCTGGTTTCTTGGGATATATTCCTAGAAGTGGGATCACAGGGTCAAATGGGAGTTCCATTTGTAGTTTTTTGAGGAAACTCCATACTGTCTTCCATAGTGGCTGCACCAGTCTGCATTCCCACCAGCAGTGCACAAGTGTTCCTTTTTCTCCACATCCTCTCCAGCACTTGTCGTTTGTTGATTTGTTGATGATAGCCATTCTGACAGGTGTGAGATGGTACCTCATTGTTGTTTTGATTTGCATCTCTCGGATGATTAGTGACTTTGAGCATGTTTTCATATGTCTCTTGGCTTTCTGAATGTCCTCTTTTGAAAGGTGTCTATTTAGGTCCTTTGCCCATTTTTTGATTGGATTGTTTATCTTCCTTTTGTTAAGTTGTATGAGTTCCCTATAAATTTTGGAGATTAGGCCCTTATCGGATATGACATTGGCAAATATGTTTTCCCACACAGTGGGTTTTCTCGTTGTTTTGTTGATGGTTTCTTTTGCTGTGCAGAAGCTTTTTATTTTGATGTAGTCCCATTTGTTCATTTTCTCTTTAGTTTCAAGTGCCCTAGGAGCTGTATCAGTGAAGAAATTGCTTCGGCATATGTCTGAGATTTTGTTGCCTTTGGATTCTTCTAGAATTTTTATAGTTTCCTGTCGTACATTTAAGTCCTTTATCCATTTTGAGTTTATTTTTGTGTATGGTGTAAGTTGGTGGTCTAGTTTCATTTTCTTGCATATATCTGTCCAATTTTCCCAGCACCATTTATTGAAGAGACTATCTTGGCTCCATTGTATGTTCTTGCCTCCTTTGTCAAATATTAATTGAGCATATTGGTTTGGGCCGATTTCTGGGCTCTCTATTCTATTCCATTGATCTATATGCCTATTCTTGTGCCAGTACCAGGCAGTTTTGAGAACAGTGGCTTTGTAATACATCTTGATATCTGGTATTGAGATCCCACCTACTTTGGTCTTTTTCAGGATTGCTGCAGCTATTCGAGGTCTTTTTTTATTCCAGATGAATTTTTGGAGAGTTCTCACTGTTACCCCTTATCTCAGTCTGGAGTACTGTCTTCTCTCCACTACCCATCCACTGATACACACACACACACACACACACACACACACACACACACACACACACACACACAGGCTTCCTGCCTGCACTCTTATCTGCCTGGCAAATGCTGATTATCTTTTGAAGTCTTAGTTCAAGTTCAGCCTCCTCTGTGAAGCCCTCCCCCCCTTTTTTTCCCATGTGTTCTTCATCTCTGCCATATCACATAATATACGTGGGAGAGTAAGACACCTTTTTAGCTTCCACCAAAAATGGCATATGAGAGAGAAGGCTGAAGTAAGAAGGATCTAAGTTAGGTTTACCAGCGTGTATGTTGAGACTCCAGGATGTAACACTATAAATGTTTCCTTGAATAAGGCTTGACAGCTATCCTAATAGCAAAGATTGATATTTGGATAGCCCTTTGAGGCATAAACAAATGTTTCTGGGTGGTGTGACCCCTTCATCAAGGCCAGTTCCAGTGCCGCCTCCTCCAGGAGCTGTCCTGGACTCCATCTCTCCACCTTGGATCTCCCCAACCCTTCGCTTGGCCTCCCTCGGGTTGGCCACGTGCAATGCCTCGTCTCCTCACCAGACTGGGTTCCCTGGGAGCAGGGCTCGAGTTCTGGACATCTTGGTGTCCCTGACAGCAGGGGTCACAGTGTAGGGCCCTGGCTGCCCAGGATCCCCCGGGAGCTTCCTCAGCATGCAGGTCTTGGGCCCAGCATTGGGGCTAAGTCTGACCTGGAGCTTGGCGTCTGCATGGGAAAGCAGCCAGGTTTCTGAACCTCTGCCCCCGGGCAGGGAAGGTGGGCATGTGGCTGAAACAAGGGTGTGTGAGAGGCAATGAGAGGACGGTGGCTCACCCCGGACTCCTGTCGTCCTTGCAGGTTCGTGTGTGCCCAGCTGCCCAACCCCGTGCTGGAGAGCATCAGCATCATCGACACGCCGGGCATCCTCTCTGGGGAAAAGCAGAGGATCAGCCGAGGTAGGGTCGGCTGGCTCTGTGCTCTGTTCTTCCTGGTATGTTCTCTCGCTTCCATACCAGGAGCGAGGCCTCCAGGGCCTTGCTGTCCCCTGATGAGCCAGTGCTGCCCTGTGTGCTGTATGGGATGGTCCGAGGCAGTGGCCAGGGGACAAGGGTGGGTCTACTGTGGCTCAGGAGATAGCTGGCCTCTGTCTTCTCCTCTGTAAAAGGGAGACATCAGTATCTGCCTTTCCTCCCTCACCGAGGTTATTCATGCTCCAAGCGACACCTAACGCGGGCCGAACCCTGGTTGCTTCTGAAGTCCCTGCAGTCTCCGCCCCGGAGCTTGCAGCCCTGCAGGGGCGGCTGGCGAGGCAGAGAACTCCAGCTCCACAGCATGAGGACAGCATGCTCTGGGCCTGGGAATGGGAGCTGGGATGTGAGAGCACTTTGAAAACTGCTCACTCCAGACAAAAAGGGGGTAACCGCTCATGAGGGAGCCGCCCCCAGGGTGGTTAGGAGCTGGAACTCGAGTCAGACTGCCAGGGTTCCAAGCCTGCCTCTGCCACCTCCTGGCGGCGTGAACTGGGGCAGGTCTGTTTGCTCTGGTTGGTTCAGCTGTAAAGTAGGGAGAAATAATTCTATGTACCGGATAGGTTGTTTGAGGATTAAAAGAAATAATACAGATTAAGAGCCTTCTGCCTGGCACATAGCAGTGCCCAGTTAGCATGAGGTGTTATAGATCCTCACCATCATCATCACTGCCTTTTACAGCTAGACCGATGCTGTTTAAAGCTAAAAACAACTGCTCCCGGCTCCTCACCCCCAGCCTCCCCAGCCACAGTGTGCTGTGTGCCCCGGGTGATGCCCTACCCTCTCTGTGCCCTGTATCTCTGGCGAGAAGCGCAGACAAGGCACACCCGTCCGATAGCGGAGCTGGGAGCTGGGCTAGAGCCAAATCAGCACTCGGCAGTCAGCATCCGGGAAGGAACGGCTTTGGCCTGGGCAGCGGCTGGACTCTCGCCTCGCCTGATCCCTTAGCTGGCTGTCCGCTTCCCTCAGCCCCTGTGCTCTGCGACCAGACAGACAGACAGGTGTGTTCTGCAGGCTGCCCGGGCTCGGACACCCCCTCCGCCTGGTCACGGCCTGCCAGGGCCAGCACCCGCTCCCCCAGGCTGCACTGATTCCCACAGGCAGCCTGTCTCCTCCAGGTGGGTCCAGAGAGCCAGACTTCCATCCCTAAAGGTGGGTGGGCCTGCACCTGCAAGGCCAGTGCCGCCTGACAGGTGGGTCTGGAGGTTTCCAAGGAGGCTGGACTCAAGTTCAGAGATGGGGGTTTAGAACCTGCACGACTCTCAACAGGTCACATGTCCCCCTGGGTCTCGCTGTTCCCATGTGTAACGAGGAGTAATGACCCATCGTATGACCTTGTGAGGTCCACGGATGGTCATGGACACATGGGCATCAGCTCTGGGTCTGGATCTCAGAGCGCTCCCTCCTTCCCCGACCTGCCAGCCAGGGCCACCGCTCTGCAGCCCCAGGGTCATCTGTGTGCATGGCCTCCCTGCAGCTGTGGGTGCACAGCCTGTGCAGCTGTGGGTGGCCGCCCTGCTTCGGGGATCCCTGCCTTCCTCAGCTCCTGTCCCATTCCAGGCCTCCTCTACCCCTCTGCCTTCTCTCCTGCCTTCATCTTCAGGCCTCAGCGGCTGCCCTGTGTAGATTGGCTGCTTGGCCATCTTCCTATCCTCTCCCATCTCACGTGACTAAGCCCCACCTCTGGGAGAAGTGATGACCCATGAGTGCTGCCCAGGCCAGTTTGTTCGCTGCCCTCCCGCGTCCAGACTACAAGTGCAGCTGCTAGCAAAGCAGCCTGTGGTGGAAACCGGAGCTGGGAGCTGGACCGCAGCACTGCATCGTCAGCCTGGGCAGTGCTGACTCAGCTCTCCAAGGAGACCAGGAAATCGGGGGAGGGAGGATCACACACTCCCAGATGTCAGGGGACCCCAAATGAGGAGGGTTTCCAGTATGCAGAGTCCCTCCTCCTCCTTCCTCACAGAGCTGTAGAAGCTGGAGGCTCCAGCTTATACCTACACACAGAAACATGCACGCTCATATACACACATCCACACACATGTACATCCACACTCATATACACCCACACTCATATACACACACCCACACAAATATACACATCCACACTCATATATACACATCCACACACATGTACATCTACACTCATATACTCCCACACTCATATATACTCACACTCATACCTACATCCATACACATATACACCCACACTCATACACACACCCACACACATCTACATCCACACTCATATACACACATCCACACACATATACATCCACACTCATATACACCCACACTCATATATACCCACAGTCATACGTACATACATACACATATATATCCACACTCATATGCACACACCCCCACACATATATATCCACACTCATATACACCCACACTCATATATACCCACACTCATACATACATCCATACACATATACACCCACACTCATACATCCATCCATACACATATATACCCACATTCATATACACATCCACACTCATGTGCACCCACACACATAAACACCCACACTCATATACACATCCACACTCATATACACCCACACACATATACACCCACACTCATATACACACATCCACACACACATATACACCCACACTCATATACACACCCACACTCATATGCACCCACACTCATATACCCACACTCATATGCACCCACATACATATACACTTACAGTCATATACACACATCCACACACATAGACCCACACTCATATACACCCACACTCATATACACCCACACTCATATACACCCACACTCATATACACATCCACACATAAACACCCACACTCATATACACATGTGCACACACACACACACCCCAAGTGTGTACATAGAACCAAACGTACTTTATCTGACTGTGGTCTGGGGCCCTCAGAGCTCTGGGTTTGGTCACAGGGCAGATAGGCACTTCTTCCGTCCCTTCAGCCAGCCCAGGGCAGGGCAGAACCCCCAACCCTGCTCAGGGGTGTGGGGAGCCTGAAATCCAGGCCACATTTTGCTGCGTCCAAGCCTCGTGCCTGGCACAGGGCTGTGTCTCCCAGAAAAAAGGTGCCATTGTGACATTGGCAGAGCCTCCACTGGGCCCCATGTGGAAAGTGAGCTGCTCCCAAGGGCTCCCCAGGCCTCAGGCTTCACAGGAGGAGGAGGAGGACCCCAGCCCAGAGGTGGACAAAGTGTGGTCCTTGCTTAGGGTGTGGCCCCATTGCCCAGGCTGGGGGTAGGTGCCTTGCAGGGTGGGAGAACGCGGGGGGCACCCCAGAACCTGGGCCTGGGAGGTCACGCGCAGCAGTTGTCTCTGGATGGAGACGCACTAGGTGGGCAGCAGAGGGGCAGGGAGGCATTCCGGGAAGTGACAGGATGTGCCCGGCCCAGACTCATTACTGGGAAGGAGCAAGGAAGCAACAGAAGTGGGTGGGTCCCGGAAGCCTGAGTGTCCTCTCACTGGGGAACCGCGTTTCCCGGCTGCTCAGCTAGAAATCCCCACCGGCCCCACCCTGCAAAAGCAACACCCACCCACCCCCACCCCCCCGGACAGGGAGCTCACATCCCGCTCAGTAAGCCCCTTCCTGCACAGGTGAGCTCAGCAGCTCTACAGCAGGTGAACCCCTGGCCCAGATCTGAACACTGCAATGGGAACTCCGGCCTCCTGACTCCCAGTCTAGTGGCTTCTCAGCCCATTTTCATGGAGGTGGGGAGTAGGCATGAAGGCAGACTCATCCCCTGGGGAACCTTGGAGGGTCTGGGCTGACTCTCACAGCCCTCGCCCGTCCCTGACACCTTGCTGGACCAGGACTGGCACTTAGGGGCCTCCTGGGCCTCACATGGGGCAGCAGGAGAGTCCCGATGCCTTCCAAAGGGCTTGCTGACAGCCTGCAGGCTTCTTCTGGAAGGCATGCAGTGTGGCATTTGTTCCCCGTAGTCATCTCAATTCTTCCCACTTTTTAGAAATCGATGCCTTGTCATTATTTTATTTTAAATCTTGAAAGAGATTTGGGGGGAGGCAGAGCAGGACCATAAGTAACTGCCTGTTCTGAGGGCTCAGCCTTCTGGGCTCAGCCTGGCACATGACTCTGAGCAAGAAGGGAAGGTGGGCAAGAGTCCAGGATCTGGGTTCTAGTCCCAAGTTTGCCACCACCTGGCTGTGTGAGCTTGGGCCAGCCCCTTAACATATCTGTTCCCTCTCCCTTCCCTGTAAGATGTGCATGCCCTGTTAACCCCTGGCATCAGCAGAGTTATGAGGATCAATGAGATTGCGTGGCAAATGTGCTGCCTTATCCCCTGCATTTCTCTTTAGACTGCGAAGGAAGCCAGTGGGTCATTAAGGAGCTGCCTTGCTTATTGGGTTTGTCTCATTGATTTCCGCCTGCCTGGCATTACTTAGGAATACTCTCTTGCCAGTCGGCTGGAGCCTAGGGGCCGTGGGGAGAGGCCCGGGTCCCTGCAGGCTGCCCAGACTCTGGGCCGGGCGCCTGCAGTCCAGGTCTCTTGGAGCCAGCGGACTTGCTGTAAGCAATTCCAGGAAGGCCAGCTTCGCCCTCCGTCTCTTGGGGCTCGAATCTCCCCCACCCATAGCCATATCTTATGTCACGAGCCTCAGGCTGCCGCAGGTGCTCTAAAGCTCTCGTTATGGGTCTGAGAGCCATTCCTGGGACCAGTGAGGGAAAGGGGGCCTGTCACTGGTGTCCTGTCCACCCAGGCACTGGGGCAGAGCCTCCAGACTCAGCACAGCCCCTCCCTCTGCAGTCGGATCCTGTTGCCGTAGTTCTGCCACTGACCCCTCATTAGTCAGTTGTTATCCCCATTTTATAGCTGAGAAAATTGAGGTTCAGCCTTGCCCAAGGCCACACAGTGAATACATGGGAGAGCTAGTCCCATGCCCTTTTCCTTATTGGCTCCGGCACCCGCCTTTCAGCTGCTCCCACTCCTGGCTGTACATAAGCCGAGTCTAGGGCACAATTAGCCAGTTAACTGCCATGCATCCAAAACGGAAACCATCTCCACACTCCACAATATTTTGAATTTAATTGTGTACAAAGGGTTAAACACCCATCCTGGAGGTTGCCCTGATTTTCTGAGCCCTCTGCCCCCTTCCTGCCCACAGTTCTGAAGGACTGCCTTTGGGAGGTGGGAGCAACCAGTGTACCAGGCTATGCCACATGGGACGATTAGAAATAGCCAGGAGCTATCCCTGGGGCGGCGCAGGCAGGGGAGCAGGTGCTGGCTGCGGGCTGCAGGCCTACCTGGAACGGGAATGCACAGGCCTCCCAGGCTCTGTAGGAGCTGCTGGCTGGGCCTGTGCAGTGGGGAGGGCAGGGCAGGGCAGGGCAAGGTAGAGCGGGTAGACAGGGATGTGGCCAGGTGCTGGACTGCTGTCCTCGTGGCATGTGCAGGGAGCACAGGGACCCGCTGGCCAGGTGCAGTCCGGGCCCCACCCCTTGCCTGCTGTTTAACCCTCACCTCATCTCTGAACCTGTTTCCTCCTCTGGAAAGTGGCAATGATACTCCTCACCCCACCTACCTCAGAGGGCGCTGTGAGTGTGAAATGAAGCTGAGCTGTAAACATCTTGCCAGCCGGAGCAAGCACTGGATCTGGGGCTAGAGAGCTATGTACCGTGCCCCACCACTGCCTCCTACAAGCAGGGTGGTCCTGGATGAGTCACTGGGTGACTGTTTCTAGGTGGCACTGATACTATCCCTGCCTGGTCACTGGGCAGAGCCTGGCCCCCAAAGCACTTTCCTAGGCCCTGCTCCTTGATGGAGAGGGCCAGTTTCCCCGAATCAAAAGACTAAATAGGACTAATGGTGCTAATAATACTTAGCATTTATTGAGCAGCTACTATATGCTGGGCTTTCAGTGTATTTAGTCCTTATAGTTCTCTTAATGAGGTACTACCAGTGTGCCCTTTGATAGATGAAAACGCACTGACTTGGAGACACCGAGTAACTTGCTCAAGGCCAAATAGTAAAAACAGTGGAAGAATCAGAATTTGAACCCAGATCTGACTCCCAAGATGTATTATTTCTCCTGCACCTGGTGCATCTCCCCAAACCCCTAGCCTGTGCCCCAAATGCCCCTCCCCCTGATTGTCGCTCTGCCTGCAGGGTATGACTTTGCTGCTGTCCTTGAGTGGTTCGCCGAGCGGGTTGACCGCATCATCCTGCTCTTTGACGCCCACAAGCTGGACATCTCTGATGAGTTCTCAGAAGTCATCAAGGCCCTCAAGAACCACGAGGACAAGATGCGGGTGGTGCTGAACAAAGCCGACCAGATCGAGACACAGCAGCTGATGCGGGTGTACGGGGCTCTCATGTGGTCCCTGGGGAAGATAGTGAACACCCCGGAGGTGATCCGGGTCTACATCGGCTCCTTCTGGTCCCACCCCCTTCTCATCCCTGACAACCGGAAGCTCTTTGAGGCCGAGGAGCAGGACCTGTTCAAGGACATTCAGAGTCTGCCCCGAAACGCTGCCCTGCGCAAGCTCAATGACCTCATCAAGAGAGCCAGGCTGGCCAAGGTGAGGCCGCCCTTGGGGGGATGGGCAGCATGGGTGGCACCAAGTGTTTGGGGGCAGCGAGGTCAGCTGCAAGAGCTACCTGCAACCTTGAGCATTGCCTGCCCATGTGAGCATGTTCTGTAGCTACTGCGTCATGAGCTTCAGCCATGCCCACACTGGCAGCCAGGGGGCAGGATACAGGGGGTTGATATGATCACAGGCCCTGGGGTCAGATGGCCAGATTGGAGCTCCACTCCACTGTTTATAAACTGATCCCACCCCCAGCAAGGCCCTCTGTCTCCTGTTTCCTCACCTGTGAAATAAAAGGGTTGGAGGATAGAGTAGAATAAGAATGTAAAACCCTTTATTGCCATGCCTGTGTCCTCACAAGTGCTCAGTAAATGTTAGCTATTGTTGTTGTCTTCCTCATCAGCATCATCTCCAGTATTACCATCCCTGCTATTGCCTTGACCTTAACCTCCCCACAATCTCGCCTTTCCCGAGATCTAGAAAAACAGCTCAGTGCTGCAGGAAGTGTGAGAGCAAGAGGGTGGACAGAAATTATTTCGGAAGTAGGAGCAGGAGAAGGAGGGGTTTATGGGAAGAGATGGATGCGGGCCACCAAGAAGGAAGGAATGGATCGAGGTCTTGATCAGAAGCGTTCTCTCTGCCCATTTCTCAGGTCCATGCCTACATCATCAGCTGTCTGAAGAAGGAGATGCCCTCCATGTTCGGGAAGGACAACAAGAAGAAGGAGCTGGTGAACAACCTGGCTGAGATTTACGGCCGGATCGAGAGGGAACACCAGATCTCGCCTGGGGACTTTCCCAACCTGAAGAGGATGCAGGTAACCAGGGTCTGGGGCTCCAGGACAAAGGGTAGTGAGCAGCCTGAGTATGGAGGAGATGCCCTAGGTCTGTCCTTCCTGGTGCTGTCACTGGCCTAGCAGGTGTCATATCTGGGGCTGGAGAGAAATGTGGAGCCCCAGCGATCCTAGTAGGACAGGGGTGTCCCATGATGTTTGGGATCTGTAGCTCCAGTTCCCTAGTCACAGCCACCACGTCCTGTGAAATAGGACAAGTCACCTAATGAAGGTTCTCCAGGCCCTCAAGTACATAGGAGTGGCTGGGGACATAGGCCATGGAGAAGAAGTCTGCACCGGAGCATGCCATCTTTGGAGCCCACTACAGGCCCCTCTCGAGCCAGGGACCATCACACATGGTGACTCATGTCATTCCCCAAATCAGCCCTCTGCAGAAGGCGTTTTCATCCTCCTTTGATGGATTAGCAAATTGCAATATACAAAGATAACTAATCTTCGCAGTTAACTGCCTGCAGTTTTCTGAGTGTAGTGTTCACATGGGCTGCTAACAGAAAAGCCAGGAGCTGTCCCCACAGTCCAAGCAAGAAACTACCTCCCCATACCAGCTGAATCCTCTCTGATCCTCTGTCTGTTCATCTGTAAGTCAAGGCCCCAGACATGCTCAGCTATGGATGCTGTGAGCATCCGTGAGATAATACTTATAAGGTACTCAGTACAGAGCCCAGCACAGACTCGCCCTTGAAATGAAGTAAGATGTTACCACCAGGGAAGCTGGGTGATGAGCAAAAGGGACTTACCTATCCATGTAATTTTTGCAACTTCTCATGGCTCTGTATTATATCAAAATACGGTGTTTTTAAAAATCAGAGAATTAGAGACATTCTCTAATAGCCGCAGACGTAGCAGTGATATTGATTTTGCTCTTGTTGCTGACTTCGATCTTAAGCTTGGGAACCAGTTTCTCAGCTCAAGACTGGGGTTTCAGAACTCCCTAGAGTCTCACTTTTAGTTTCCTATCTGATTTAAAAAATAGACATTCAAAATATACATGTGTTCATGTATCCATTCATTCCTATAACCGCCTACCGCAAGCCCGTCACTAACTTCAGAAATTACTTTAACGTCACTTGTGTCTCAATCGACTGTGCCCTGGAACATGGTCAACTTTTAGGTTCTCTTTCCATTAAGAATTTAATGATCTATAATCAAGCATTTGGAAAGCTGATGTTTGAAAGGGACCATACAACCCCTTTTTTAATGTGAGAGATTCTTTCACAACATAAATGAGTCCATCTCCTGCTATTAGGTATGCTGATCAATAACGTAAGTGGTTGTCCTTTGGGGGAATGTATGGGGGGGCGGGAGGGAGCAGCCACTGTGCCCCTGGAAGATATTGGGAACCCACCGAACACACCTAGCTGTGGACAGAGACCCGAGGGACCTTGAGAGGTCATGCCCCGAGGGCAGGAAAACAGCTGGTCATCCCCTGCCCTCCTCCCCTCCCAGCCCCCACTGCCCTGGTTCAGCCTGTCCTTGAAGGGAGCTGAGAAACGCCCAAGCTAACACTCGCTCTTGGAATGTAGCTGTGGGTGTTGGTGGAATTTTTCTGCAGGAACTCGAGGTGCCTGTCCCCAGCCTATCCCTGTGCACTGGCCTCTTCCCCGGGTCCTGAGGTTGCTGTGGCCTAGCCAGGGCGGGAGCGGAGAGCTCTCACCTCGTCACTCCTGAGGCCCAGGGGAAGCCGGGCGTTCTAGACTCAGGACCTTTCAAAAAATCACAACAAGGTGCAAAGTGGAGCGAGTGTCTCTTACCATGTGGCGGGGGTCGTGGGGAGGCACGGAGGGGAGCTGTTGCAAAATCTGCGTGCCCACTGCGTCTACTGTGTCAGGAGCTTCGAGAGGGGAGCCAGTCAGTGACAACTCTCTCCCGGTGATTCTGAGGAGCATCCTGATTAAGGACAGCTGGTTAGGGGTAACCCTGGGCTCTTACTATGATTTGTGTTTAGCTGCGTTGGCCTCAGTTTTTCCTCCCTAAATGGGGATGAAACGTGATTTCCCTCCCTCAGAAGGGCACTGGAGGAGCGAATAAGACCATGTAGTAAAAGCACTCTGTGTTTTCAAGTGTAACCTTATTAAAGTAGAGAGACCCCCAAGCTCCACCTCGCTCCTTCCCAGCCCCGGAAGCGGTTCTACTCTCTCCTGAAAAATCCCAACCTCAACACAATGTGCCTGCTTTCCTCCTCCTCTCTCATATCTTTTATGATTTTGATGTGTCTCAGTCTGGCTTCAGGCCAAAGGGCTGTGGGCATCCCAGCATTAGTGGAAGACAGCCTCCCCCTCAGAGGAAGGCATTCCTCCCACTGTCTTCCTGCCTCACCTTCTTTTCTCCCTCCTCTCCCCAGGACCAGCTGCAGGCCCAGGACTTTAGCAAATTCCAGCCCCTGAAAAGCAAGCTGCTGGAGGTGGTGGATGACATGCTGGCCCATGACATTGCCCAGCTCATGGTGCTGGTGCGCCAGGAGGAGTCGCAGCGGCCCGCCCCGATGGTGAAAGGTGGCGCATTCGAGGGCACCCTGCATGGCCCCTTCGGGCACGGCTACGGGGAAGGGGCTGGGGAGGGCATCGGTGATGCTGAGTGGATCGTGGCCAGGGACAAGCCCATGTACGACGAGATCTTCTATACCCTGTCACCGGTGGACGGCAAGATCACGGGTGCCAATGCCAAAAAGGAGATGTTGCGCTCCAAGCTGCCCAACAGCATGCTGGGCAAGATCTGGAAGCTGGCGGACATCGACAAGGATGGCATGCTGGATGACGAGGAGTTCGCACTGGCCAACCACCTCATCAAGGTCAAGCTGGAGGGACATGAGCTGCCCAACGAGCTGCCCGCCCACCTCCTGCCACCATCCAAGAGGAAAGTTGCCGAGTGATGGGAGGAGGAGGTTCAGAGCAGGCAGGTGTTACAGGAGATGGGAGAGGCGGACACACACACACACACACACACACACACACACGCTCACGGGCACAGATCTGGAGAACCGCACAGCAGGTGAGAGGGATCAGCCATCCTCAGGTTTCCAGGCTAGACACAAGTTCTCAGCATCGGCAGAAGCACAGGGTCCCAGCTCCCAAGCCTCCGTCTCCATCCCTCTCTCCTTTCCGTCTTCCCCTGCCCAGAGGCCCGCCTCCTCCTGCAGAGGCAGGTAGTTCACCGCCCACATGGCCCACCCACCTCCACATTCCCTGGACTCGGGACACATGGAAATACTTTTCACTTACTAGACAATTCACTTTGTTTTCTGAGCTTTCTCCCTGTCTTTAGCTTCCTAATATGAAAGCTGCTCCGAGGCCGGGAGGTGTGTGGAAAAGGGCTGCTGCAAGGAGGGGGCGGGGAGGAGAGGCGTCCCCGGGAATCAGGTCCCCGCCTTGAAGAGACATGGCCCTGAACTCCCTTCTTGCGGCCTCAGGCTCCATCTGCCTCGTCAAGTCTGGCTTTGAAACACACACAGCCTCCTCCCCGCAACACTTTATTTCAAAGAATCCCAGGGAGAGGGAAGAGTCGGAAAGCTGGCAGGAAAGAAAGCAGGAGAGCTGCCTTGTCATCCTCTCCTCAAAGCCAGTTGGAGGTGGCTTCATTCCGCAGATTTTGTGAGGTTCCTATTGTTTCCACCTGACCTCTGACATGTGGATGCCCAGACTCATGGTTACCCAGCCCCTCCTGTATGCCAGGACCTGTGCTCAGCACTTTACAGGCATCAGCCCATGGGGCCCTCATCACTCCACAAGGGAGTGTGCATTAGTGCCCCCATTTTTCAGACGAGGAGTCTGAGACTCAGAGTTTAAGGGACCTTCCAAAGTCCCAGAGGTCACACATGATGGAGAAGGATTCAGAGCCAGGGCCTCGCTCTTCCTTCTGCCTCAAAGATCTCAGCATTGCTAGCCCACGACCAGCCACAGAGAGCGAGCTCAGCTTGCAGGCCCCTCCGCTTCCCAGAGCCGGCTGGAGAGCGGGAAGGGCCAGCAGCCCTTGGTGGGCCATCAGTCTGGCCATCTGTCACATCACAGAAGCAAACCGTGCCTTCTGGCTCTGTGCCCCATGTTCCTAAAATTGCCGCAGTCCCACAGCGTCAGCAGGAGAGTGGGCCTGCCTGCTGGATGCTGCTGCCGCCTGTCCCTGCTCCACCTCCCACCAGAGCTGAGTCACTGACTCTGTGATGTGGGACCTCATGCTGACTCTCAGAAGGACAGCTCAGAGGTCTGAGGTGTCCCTGGCAGGACCGCCAGCAACTGCAGTGTCCTCGACACATCCCCACCATTCTCCATGCCCTGCTCCCGCCTCCATGGTCTCTCCCCTGATTTGCTTCACGGCCACTGAACCAGTCACTTTGTATGCTATGCTCCTACTGTGATGGAAAACAAAAGCAAGTATAACTTATTTTATATCTATGTTCAGACTATAGAGAGAATATTCTATGTATCTATGATGTGCCCACTACTGTAGTGCGTTTGTCATTAGTGTTCATGTTAATACAGCACATGTATATCCTTTGGTACCCAATTGGCCACAGAGCATCATTCCATGGAGGGCCAGGGGGAGGGGCTGGGTTCTTTCCTGAGATCCCTGGTAGTACCTTTGGCAGGGGATTGGGCTGCCATGGCAGCATCCACACACATCGTTCCACTGGCCTGATGACTGCCCAGTGGTTACCTAGGCTGCCCTTGTGAAACCACCTCTCCCTGCCACTCTGCAGTGGAGTTGGCCCCCAAACCTCTGGGCTTCCTTCTGCATTCACACATTCCTCTGTCTCATGAAGTGAAGGGCAAAGGAAAGTGAAGGCTAAGAGGTCTAGCCTCCTCTCGCAGAGACCATTGGTCAGCTCTGTGCCTCTCTTTGAGCTGAAGGAAAATGGGAAGGAGACAGCAGAGGGGGGTGAAGTTTCTGTCTTTTTATTTTAGAAGGAAGGGGGTGTCAGTCCCCTCGCCCCACAGCCACTTGGACATTTGCACCACCTTCTTGCCCTGCCTCTCTTCCCTCCCTTCTCCAAGACTCCACCCGGGAGAGATCTAGGAGGCCTGAGATTTCTGTGTTGGCACTTTTCCCATCTCCCGAGAAAAAGGAAATGGTGCTTGAGGCTCCTCTCAACAGCTGAGGGGCAGCTGAGGGTCACTTTCTCTGGGGCTGTCCCTCTGGCTCTTGCTGCCTTGACTTTCTGACCTCTTGCTGGCTCCGGGGGCCTGGGGAGAGCATGTGCCTCAGCTGGGAAACATTTAATAGCAAGCAGATGCATGCCATAGCGGTCTCACAGGCAAGAATCCCTACAGACCCCGCTGTGCTGTGGCTCCGTCCCCATGCACCACTCAGCCGGGGTCATAGAAGTCGTCAGATATGAGGAGCACACCCTGCACCATTGCCCCAGAAAAGCCTGCTCCTGGCACCGAGGGCTACCTCCTGACCTGACCAGAGTCTAGTTGTGTTCAGGGACACTGCTGGTCATGGCAGGGCCTGGGCCTCAGAGTGCAGAGGGGCAAGAGATTGCCCTAAGACATCCCCACTTCCATCTGTCCCCTCATTCCAAGAGCTTGTGTTTGTGTGTTAGCTCATCAGAATTGGCAGAGCTTTCTGGGGAGAATAGGCTTGTTTCCTTTCCCCAGGAGACATTAACTGGTCTCTGTACATATTTATTTCTTTACTCTTTAATTTTCTCATCCATAAATCCGTCTATCCATCCATCCATTCTTTCACTCGGAAGACCCTGAGAGCCTCGCCCAGAAGAGGCCCTAAGGTCAAGATAGAGATTCCTTCTCAGAGCCATTGAAAAATAATAAATGCCATCTGTGCAGTAGGGACAATTCCAGATGGGTCAGACCAAGTTCTTGCTCTCAAAGAGCTCACAGCCTTCCAGTTAGGGAAATATTTCTACAAACATTGATAATACAAGGAGGGACAAGGACAGAACCTGGGGTGGGGATACAGGAAAAGGGGATGGGGGGCACATGAGAGTCAGAAATGGCTTCAAACTTACTTAGGAGGAGATGGTCAGAGAAAGCCTGGGGTAAGGGCGGGGCACATGAGAGGAACCTAAGAAACCTGGGGTCTCCCTCTGGTGCCTACTGGCTTCCTTCTCTAACCAAGGAAGATAGGATTTTATACAAAAGTAAACACACAGTGTTCCCAGCCCACCAAATCCTGCCAGACTCAGCACCACTGATGTGCTTGAGGAAAAGCAGGATTCGAATTTTGTCTCTGGAGACTGCTGGTGTTTCACAGGCTGTTTTCAAGTAAAAATGTTATCAGTGTCTTTAAAGTTGAAATTTTCAGTGCCCGGAGGAAAAGAAAAATGGTGATGGGGGAATGTCAGCTATTCCCGCTGGAGCATGAGGGGGAAGGGAGGATAGAAGGGGCACCACTCTCCCCTCGACCTCCCACTGGGGTAATCAGTGCTGCTCCTATGTGGGTTCTCGGGTCCTCCTGACAACGGGAAGACTCCACTTTCTACCCCTTGAGGTGAGGGAGGCTGTGCGACTTGCTTTGGCCAGTGGAATATGGGTGGAGCAACATGCCCCTTCTTTGCAGAAATGAGTATGCAGTTTGCCTGGGCCAGCTCAAGTCCCTGAGTCACTCTGAAATCCCTGACCAGCCTGCACTGAACGGATGGCACAAATAAGATGGAAACCCTAGTCATTTTGATGTTAAGCCACTGATAGCCATAGGCTGTTTATCACCCAGCATCACCTAGACTATCATGACAAAGAGACCAGGCCAATTCTTCCAATAGCAAGTGTAGAGGAGAGAAAGTCTAGGAGACTGAGTTCCTGCCTTCCTAAAGACTGAGGCCACCGAAGCTGAAGTCACAGGTGATTCACACAAAGTCCTTTTGCATCTGAGCCACATTCTGCAATGTCCCAGACCTGGCCCCTCAACATCACTGCATAGCTTTGCACTGCTGGAATCAAACACTGCTGGGCCTTGTCTTCTTCTGGCAGTGATATAGATTGGGCATTTGTCTATCTAGACCTGAAATAGAGATGTGTACAGGTCAGAAAGAGAAAAACTACAATTCCCAAACTCCCTTGCAGCCAGGTTCAGGATGTGATTCCGGGCCCTGCCAATCACATGCACAGAGGAAGAAGAGATGGAAGAGGGGATGTGGAGGGCCTGGCAGAGCAGTTTTTACACTGCCTGAACACCTGAAAGGGGAGAGGGAGGCCTGGAGACCACCTGTGGGTCCCTGCAGGCCCTAGCCCACCGTGGCCCCTGCCACCTGTGTGAATGCACAGCCCTGAGTCCCCGACTGGCCTCCAAGCCATCCTCATCTGGTGCTGACAGTGGGCTATGAATACTCAAAGTGCACTCATCACAGTGGGTTTGGGGGCGGGGGGAGAGTGGTGACATGGTTGCCTGGCTCCGATGCAGACCACCTAAGAAGTTCACAGGTAATAGCAGACCCTCCAATATATTGAATGCACAACCCAAATGGCAAATGTTTCTCTTCATTCACGCAGTTTCAGAATATGACACTGTTGTGTAAGGTGAAGTCTCCTTTTCTGCTAGCCAGCGTCTTTTCATAGCATTTTTAAATCCTTGTTTTAAGACAAGGAGCTAAGGAAGCAGCAAATGCCAGCTCAGTGTAGAGAGGAAATAAGCCTCAATGCATCTCAGTCTCATCTTGGGAAGGAGCTAGGGTTTGGTTCACTTCTGAGAGGATCCCCCACTGGTTGGCATAATGATGACAATGGTGAAATCTGACTTCAGTCCGGGTTCACTATTTTCACAGGCCACTTCCTCTCCCATCCCTCTTTCTCCTGTCTTCTCCCTACCTCCATCCCAGGATGCAGAGGGTCACCCCTCCCCTGACTGGGCATTCTGTCCTCTCCAGGCCAGCAATCCAGCAATGTGCGCACACACAGGAGCGCGCGCATGTGTGAACACACACACACACACACACACACACACACACACACCAATCCCATCATCCAAGTCTGCTCCATCCCATGGCGCTGGGTCTTGCTATGGGGCCATTGGCTGATCTGAAGAACCAAGAGTCTGCATGTCTGACCATGGGGTCAGAGGCCGT